TCATAGAGCTATTTTCACTATTATATCAGAGTTTCAGAAAGTATCATGATCTTAAGAACTATGCCTTTTCTCTTTTCTGTATGACTAACTTAGAGGTGGTTTGGGGAATAGCTGCAACATTCCGTTTCTGAAAACTGTTTCACTGAAAACAGACCAGATGCAGTCGGAAAGCTTCAAGGATCACTTGGAGTATGCACTGTGGCTGGACGGACACTCGCCACACAAGAATCACCTACAGGAGAATGGCAGAGTTTCAATAGGCACTGCTGCAGCCCTGAGGCAGTACTAGCAGCCTAGGGCTACCCTCAATGCACATAAGTGACTTGTTAATTAAAAGCTGTTTTCACCCATAATCTCCATGAAAGTTTTCTGTGTATGGTTTCAGGAAGAAAAAAGATAATTTAAAAATAGGTATGGAGGGATTAAAAAAGAATTATAGATTAAAATAAAATTATACCTAGGGCATTTAATAGTAATATTTTATGGGAAATTTTCAAGACCCACTTGCACATCAAATATTATTATAAAACATTACTTAACCCTGACCTTTCAAATAACAAAAGATATGGGTGTGGAAGCAGAATACTTGACACAATGCAATGAAAGAGGATTAGTTTCTCATAAATGTTCCAACAAGGTAGCAATACCTGTGAATGAATGATGTTTTCTGTTGATTTAGAAAACAATTTAATTAAATAGATGATTTTCAAACTAATTTAAAAATCTTTATATTTAAAATTATTACACTATAAAGTTTTAATATATTTCTTTCTTATGACTTCAATTATTAAGCTTCCTTTCCATATTTCAGTGGAATAATAATCTCTTATTCCAAAACACAGCATTTCAACAAATTTCCCTGAAAATGCATTTCAATCTATTTAAAGAAAAAAAAACAATGTAAAAAGAAAAATCCTTTAAAACAGTACAAATTGCCAATCAGATAAATACTGAACAAAAAAACCAAACAAACAAGCCAAAAAACCCGAAACAAAACAAAAAACACAAACATCTTTATTAGCTATCTTTGTTATTACAGAGGGTTTTTCACTGAGCTTTAAAAATTAAAACACCGGTACAAGCACTGGCACAAAGTCAGTGTCCTCTGAAGACTGCTCAGCTCGGGAACAAGATGAAATCAAAATCACTATGATGAAATTGCAGGGAGGAAATAAAGAAAAAAACCACTTTGTCTCCCTCTCTACTGATAACAATAGAGGTGGCTATTCATTTTTGGGTTTAGTTCAAATAACTTCTTGAAAAAGATTTCTCTTCAGCAGTGTTAATTACTTTAACTACTCCTCTAATCATTATTCTGTATATAAGAATTGGTTCCTGCCATCAAAATAAACTGTTAATTAATTGGGCAGTGAAAAAATCACAGCACTGTATCTCTTTTAGCAGCTGAACAGGAAAGTGATATGATTGCAACTGCGTGTGCCTAATGCTTCATCAATCACACACACAGCGACGAGTGTCCTCCTAAAGTGGAAAGGATGCACAAGTGAATTAGGAAAGACTGATAAGCAAATCACTGCTCTGTATCTTGTCTTGTATCAGCTTCATAGCATTGGAGATGTATCTGAGCCATTTGGCTGAGGAAGCTCTATTCCGTTACTCCCCTGCTGTACACACATCAGCAGTGCAAGTCCTATCTGCACTTATATTCCCTGGAGAATGTGACCTGTGCTTTCTAAGAAAGTTGCACTGAATTTTCCTGTTGTTTTTTTTTTCTAATCACTGTTTTTATTTTCAATGGCCTATGAATTGTTTGGAAATTAAGGAGAGATGTGACCTTGTTACCCTCTGACTATCTTTCAGACTCATCGAGGTTTCAGACAAACTATGGAGACATTTCTTGCAAACCAGCACAGAAGGACATAAGTGCACTGTGTGGATCCTTCTGAGACATGCAGTTTCCTCCAAGTTGCTCCTTTCCTCATGGCTATGAGTGGAGCAAGACCCTGCCTCCACACAGAGCAGCAGTTCAGCCTGTACAGTCTGTCCTGCTTGTCAAGTTGTGCACCACTTCCAACCCATAGGTTCCCCAGATGCAGCCAAATCTTGAAGCAATACAAAGCCCTTCTGCACCATGTCAGTGTTTGTGTGAAATTAAGGGAAAGTGGATTAAAGTTGCCTGTTCCCAGACCAATCTTTCTCCTGCTGCAAGAGAAGGTTCAAGGAAAACTTGAGAGCACACCAACCTGGTGCCTTTTTAGTCCCATGAACCAATATGTTAATTCAGGCCTTAGAGAATCAGCATCTTCATAAAAAGCTCACATTCTTACAAATGACATTCACTATCAGTTCCACCAAGACGGATAAAGTGTGGCTAGGGAGTGGACCCCGTCACAATATAATGATACGCCAAGGATATCTGAGCTGCTGCTGCCCTTGCCAAACCCCAACAACATGTAACTGAGGGCTGACTTCTTTCAGAACTTCATGATTTGGTACGTTTTGCTAGCACTATATTTTTTTTCCTTATTGAAACAGAGAATGACGGAAGGAACAATGCAAAAATAAAAGTCAATGGAAGGAAAAATAGGATAGACAAAGATAAGGACATTTTTTTCCCTCAATTATATGAATAATATGGATACAATATTCTGTTGTCAATCACTGATTACAGATTCATGTTTGGAAAAAAAGAGGTACATACAAAAAGTAAAATATTTGGAAATATCTTTCCTTCTGACCCCTCTACCTCGAAATTACTGCCTGTTTCACTCAGAAAATCTACTTCTGGCCTTCCCAGGCTTTGTACAAACTGCTGCTGCTTCCCTTTTACCACGGTTGTCTTACCTCTTTCTAGACAAAATGCTTCTGGGCCATAGACTGTTGAATTATGGAGGAACTAGTCAAATCTGTGCTTGCCCTTCCTACTCCAAAATACCATGATGGCTAACCTCTCTGACTGTGTTAGTTGCTTCAGAATTATAGTATTAAAGCTACAGGCACTTGGTAGTTATTTTTAGCAAAAATTTTTTATTTATATTATGATTTAGACACAAATATCATAGTGGCAATTTTTCAAAGGCAATAGTTTGCTACTAAGACATTGCATATATTGATTCTCTGACACAAAACACTTTGAACTTAGACTATTAGCACAAGATAACCATAAAAACCTGATGTTTTCATTGTTCTGAAAAAATGGTTTCATCTTACCAAGACTGTTGCATGTACCCAGTAGATTTCAATTCAGTCAGGAGACTAAAAATGTCCAATTACCTTAAGAAAAACTGTTTTCCAAGTATATAATCATATGATTTCTACAAAGGCTATACCATTATGTCATAAAAAGGAATAGTATAAAATATGTTTTCATGAAGATTATTTTTTAAATTTTAAATCTACTACCACCTACAAGACATAAAATTCATGTGTTGCTCCACAAAATTCTGACACTGTATGCTAGTTTAGAAAGTAACTCAGCCCACAAACTAAGCCATTAAAAAATATGGTTAGATCATGTTATAGATGAAAACACGTAGCTGAAAACTTTAAATCAGCAACATATTAAACCCCAAATTCCTGATTGTTCGAAGTTAAATCAAAATGTTCTTAAATTTAGAAGTCAAATTAGCATGTGTATATATTTTCAGCACCAGTGCATTTCAAGCTTGCTGTGTGGGTATTTCCAGCTTGATTTCAGTTCCTTAGTTCAAACCATTATCTATTCCTAAGCCAGTTCTCTTATAATAAGTATTTTGGCCAGAGCATCAGCACAGAAATCTTTCTTTCTTTTTCTTTTTTTGCCTTTTAATGAGAAAATTTACTTTGAGAATAAAAAAAATTTGACATATTATCAAAATATTTCCTTCCTAGTTGTACTGGGTCTGGCTGAGATCGTTTTCATTTCTACATAGTAGTCCTCACAGTGCTGTGCTTTGCGTTGGCAGCTAGAAGTGTGTTGACAACACATGGGTGTTTTGGCTCCTGCTGAGCACAGCATGAGCACTGTAACATTCCTTCCTTGACTGAGGGTAAGATCTTGGGAGGGGACATAAGTAGGCCAGCTGACCCAAACTGACCAAAGAGATGTTCCATACCATATGACATCAGCTCAGATATAAAAGCTAAGGCAAGGAGCAGGAGGGGGGGCATTCGTTGTCTGCAATGGCTGCCTGCTGAGGAACTATTACATGTGCTGAAGCCCTGCTTCTTGGAGGTGGTCAACCATTGCCGCTGATGTGAAGCAGAGAATAAACTATGTTATCTTCTGCTTCGCTCTCACATGCGCAAGCTTTTGGTTTGCTTATGTTTTAATAAACTGCCTTGTTTATTAAAACAAGGCAGTTGTTTTCCATCTTGCTCTCTCCCCTGTCCAGCTGGGAAGGGGAGTGACAGAGTGGCTGGGTTTGCACCTGGCGACCAGCCAAGGTCAACCGACCACACTAGTACATTACATATTCATTTAGCTTTCAAATGATGAACCTGATGCTGCGAGTGCTTCTTTCCCAGCACTCCTCTTTGCCCTAGACCTCGCAAATGGAGATGACACACCCCTAGCAACATCAGTGAGGTTCATTATTACACCTAATCTATTCTTTTGGTACTCCACTAAAGCTGAAGCATATTACAAAACAATGGGTTCGTCCTCAACCAAAACTTTGCAAAAATGATCCTGCTTGTCTCTAAAAAAAGACTATCTAAACCAGTTGCTGTCTTCCATAAGCACCCAGGACAATTACAGTGCAGCAAGTGTGCAGAGAGCCAAAGGGAAAAACAGTGCTATGATCCTTAACAGATTTGCAACTAGTGGTAAGATACTGACTGGTACTTCAAACCTTTGCTCAGACCAATTACTAGATGGGAATTTTAGTGCAAACCAAAAGGTAGAAGATTACGTTATTAAATCCATACAGACTGATCATGACACTGTTATGACCTATATTCCCATTTATGTACTAAAATAAATAGTCTTCAGACATCCCAGATCTCATTAAACCTTTAGATTGTGAAATTCGATCTCATGTAATTTGGACTTACTATACCTCACTAAACTGTTTGCAGCATCAGGATCTTGTGCTGTTACTGTGCCAACAGGAGTCCCAATCTTTGCATTTTCATAAACTTCCATGACATAGGAAGGCATAGTGAAGAGCGGAGGTTCATCCACATCGCCAACGATGATCTTCAGCATTGTTACATCTTTGAAAGGTCCCAAGTGTGAAAAGCGGAAATCAAGGTGAGTATTTGCTCCTTCTATATTAAGAGTATATGATTTCTTTTTTTCATAGTTGAGAGGCTGTCGGCAGAAAAAAACCAAAGATTTATCAGTGCTATTCTGTTTTTCAGTTTAGTCTGCTATCAGGTTAAGCACATCTTTTCTGCTTAACTTAAACAACATTTCTTCATGTTACTGGAAGGTGACAATATTCTTTGGTATTCTCGCAGCCACTGCCATGCCTTCTAAGTAGAATGACTTACACGAAGCAGGATAGATTCAGTTTTTCTTTACAACAGAATATTGGACAAGGTACCAGTTTTAGAAATAAGTCAAGATTCAGAATGAGCCTCAGATTCTTCTTCCATGATAATGTAACATTTCTGGATTTTATCACCCTTTGATTTTAATCAGTAAATTCTAAATCCAGAAAAAGGCAGAGACTGATATAACCTGAATTAAATTAACTTTGCATTTTTAATTAAAAAGTTTAATAGACAGTAACAGGGATACTAAAATTCTTTTGGCCACCTCTTAAATCCTCCACTGAAAAAAGCAACTCCTTGCAGGAAAACAGTTACTATAAGAGACATGAACTTTTATGACCAGGACACCCATCCAGTGGAGGGAAAGGCTGTGGATGTAGTCCACCTGGACTTCAGTAAAGTCTTTGATATTGTCTCCCACAGCATTTTCTTGGAGAAGCTGGCAGCCCATGACTTGAAAAGGTGCACTCTTTGATAGGTTAAAAACTGGTTGGATGACCAGGGCCACAGAGTGGTGGTGAATGGTGCTACATCCACTTGGTGGTTGGTCATTAGTGGAGTTCCCCAAGGTTCAGTATTGGAGCCAGTCCTGTTTAATACCTATATCAATGATTTGGAGAAGGGGATCGAGTGCACCTTCAGTCAGTTCACAGATGATGCTAAATTGGGCGTGAGTATTGATCTGCCGGTGGGTGGGAAGATTCTGCAGAAAGATCTGGACATACTCTCAAGCTGCATCAAGGGAAGTTAAAGTTGGATAATAGGAAGAATTTCTTTACTGATAGGGTGGTTAAGCATTGGAAGGGACTGCCAATAGGAAGTCACCATCCCTGGAAGTGTTCAAGAAACAACCAGACATGGGATTTAATGCTACGGTTAAGGTGGCATGGTGATGATCAGTCAAAGGTTGGATTGGATGATTTTGGAGGTCTTTTCCACCCTTAATTAATCTAGGATTCTATGACTGTGTAAGAATAGCCTAAACATGAGCTTGTGTGCTTTTCTAATTAGAAAAATGCATTTCTATATTCTAGACCATTTTCTTTCCAATTCATCTCCAGTAACAAGAGAAATAAGATTTCAGTCAGTCCTACCATGTACTGCTGTACTGCACATTCCATCATGAACGGAATGGAAGTCTGTAGCTGGGGATATGTCTTCTACAGAGCCTAATGTGCAGTAAAACTCTCTAGAAGGCACATCCCCAGCTATACCATACACCAGAAACACCTTTGCCGTTTTACCATTGCCCTGTATTTAAATCAATGTATTCCTATGATGAATCCTACCTCTCTGCTAGGAAAGAAGAAGCTGGGAATCTAATTTGTATGTCACACAGCACGGATACTTCCTTTCTTAGGACTCCCATTTCTAGCTTGCTATTTACACATGTGAAAATTTTATCTACAGTTTCTCTAGTTTTCAGATTATTATGAACTAATTTTACGGACTTTATGTATTTATTTTAATCCTACATCAGCATGCTAACACACTGTCTTATTCAAGATGTAAGATAAACATGACACACCTGACTCCCAACTCTCCCATTGTAGTAGAGGGGACTAAAAAGGATGTTTAACTTAAAAGTACAGAGGTAATGAAGCTCATCAGCAAATATAGAGCTAGTCAATGTTTTTACTAGAAGTCATATTTACAGAACCACAACTATTTTGGGTTGGTTTCTTCAGTCTCACTAAAGTAACTGACTACCTTTTAATAGACAGTCCATCAAGAATTTCATTTGAGAAGTAATTTTTTTCTATATATTGCCTGTTAGTTCTAATTATTAATTAAAAGGCTTTAAAAATACCAGCTCAGTTCCAGGCAGTCCTAAGGCAGATTTCAGATCACTATTTTTTAAATGTGCTTCTATGTTGGGCAAAAGCACTCATTCTTAATAATAAAGACCTCAATACTTTCTGTGTTACAAATTTATGACTTCAGCCAATTTATAAAAAGTACAGGTAGGTTAATATTTTTTATTATACTTGGCAAAGCAGGTAGCTTATACAGGTATATATAATACCACCAAGTTTCCAACAGTCTCAAAATCTTTTTTTTTATTTTTCTTATTTAGAATTGCAATTTTTACGACATTATGGCATGGCAGAATTCCAGTAATACCAGTATAATTCTGATCATTCTGTGTGGACCTGACAGCCTGTCTGGAAAAAACTCAGTACAAGCATCAAAGGTTTCATCCAAGGCTAAACTGGTATTTCCTATTACTCCAAAGAGTGGAGAAGTAGTATTTTAGGCAGGACAAATGAGAAACTCAATGTATGACTTGTCAATGTCAGTGCGTATTTTGTAGATAAAATCTACAATAAATTTGACTGATGATGTATAAGAAAAATAGTTGGTCAGGATTTATATATGCTTTATATATTTCTTTGATTTCTTCTCTGTGTATTGAAGGACAGTCAATTCATTTTCTTAATTCTAATAGTATGAGACTTTTTTTGACCCTTACATTCTCTGTCTCCCTTTTCCAAATGTAAAAATAAAAATTTTAAAGGCATAGAAAAAGGCATGATAAATCTACTACTATGAGAAAAAAGAGCTAAGTCTGCTACTTGATTAAACCAATTCAAAAAGAAATAAAAGTTTAGTAAATTCTAACTCAGATGTACATTAATTTATGATGTATTTTTCTTATGAGCAGGGAAATATTGAACAGTAATTTGCATTGCTCTGCAGCATATATATTCTAAGATTAAACAAGTTTACAATAGGATTGCAACTTGTAACGATGATGTCTTTTTAGAAAATTAAGTTTATAATGACAATGACTGAATTAATTTGTATAGGAAGATTAATTTCTCTCAGAAAACACATGCAGAATGACACTCTTGTAATAACACAAAGTCTTGTTTTCTTGTTTTATGTAGTTATTCAATCAGACAATACTAACACTTTTCCCCCTCTTTTTTCCAAGAATACAGGAATAATCCACTCAGATAATCAGAAAACGCTGACATTTCAACCATAGCTAAAGCAGTTTTTTCTTTCATTTGCTTTCTCTTCTTCCCATAACATCTTAATAATTAGCTGTAGTTATAAGATGAGAGGCAGAATTGTCCTGTGTCTCTAGATATGTAAATCATTTCTATATTTACTTAAAACATTAACTTTTCCCCAGAAATAAAGCAAAAAATTTATATTTTAGATGAAAAAACTCAGAATTGTGTTTCTTATTTTCTCAAAGAATAATGCCTTTCTATGACAATTATCCACATAACTTCAGTATGAATTTATTGTATAGTATGATTTTCACACCAAACTGAAAATGTCAAAGACAGTTTGTAATCAACCCTTCGTGGAAGGATTTTTAAGACTGAAGAATGGCTCCACAGGTTTGTCAATAGGGAAAATAATAAAAGTACTGGATGTTTTGGGTCATCCTAGAATGAGATCAAAAAAAGATTACTTCCAAGACTCACAGCCATTGTGTGCCTGTTGAAAAGCCTACCTGTAGGCTGAGAAATTTGATTTTTGCATCAGAACCTCAAATAAGTGAGGTTTTAAAAGGTTTGAGGAGGATTTCAGATTGTTAGACAAAATAATCTATTTATTTCTGCCTTTCCTGGTGTTCCTACTGTAAATTCTTCTAGATAATACTAGAGCACAAATCATTCTATTTCCCTGTTACAGAAGGTACTGGCATCTGATATACAAAAAAACCCCAATTCTGTTCTTAGTGGAGCTTATCTGTTTTGGGTTGTGAGACACTGGATCAGTAAAAGTATTATTTTATTATTGGGTTGGAACCAACCTGTGTGCGTGTGGGGCAGAGCACACGAAACTCACATGGAACTCACATGGAGTAGCTGTCAGTCAAAACGGTAGCCTGGGAGCCCACCCACACCATGACCCTTGCAAGTACTAACCCAGCCTCTGACTGGTTGCACCACCCTCACTCTGGTCTGGAAGCACAGAGTGGTCAGTGAGCTGGATGTCCTGCCTGGCAGGGGTGGCCACGGTGGCCAAACCACATAAATACAGCAGCATGTGGTTTCCATCTTGCCCTTTCTCCCTCAACCTGCCATTGTCATGTGGAGCAGGACTTCTGCAGGATTTTTCAATGGTAGCTATTTTTCTCTAAATATCTTTTCATAATCTCCTTTCTCTCTCTTTCTTTACTCCCATTTCTTCTCTTAATCTCTTTCTTTACTGTTTTCTTAATCTCTTTTGGGTAACTTAAAACCAGTAGGTTGGATTCTGCTAAGTTTTAGGGTTGACATATGCTGGGTTGGTGCCTTGTGGAATGCTTTACCTTGGTTGTTTATTACCCCTTTTAAACCTTTGCCAAAATCCGTATTTTCCCCTAAAATTAAAAGCCTGCCCTGGGAAAACCTGTGGAGCATTTTTCTCTTTAGGCTGTCTCAAGGTATTAAGAACCAAAGGCTCTGCAAAAATTTGGTGGGTGAACTCTTGGATTCTCAAATGTAAAAGTAATACTCTCAGTTAAGCTTGTGGCTTCAGCATGTGGGTCTTACATGGGAAGACTATCAAACAAATTCAGCTTGAAATCAAATCTAAATCAAAAGCAATTGCAGCACACAGAATATAAAAGAGTTATTAAATTGCATACAGAATCTGGATGTAAAAAAAAGAAAAAAGAAAAAAGAAAAAAAAAGAAAAAAGAAAAAAAAAAGAAAAAAGAAAAAAGATCACTTTTTTGTACTGTAAAATGGAATATTATATCTGAGGAAGTAATTGAGGTATTCACACCAATTTATGTAACTTTCAGTGCTGAATTTCTGCTCAACTGGAACATAACATTACCTAAGCAAAATGTACACCTTCTTGTCTTGATGAGAAAATGTTTCAAATCACTGTAGTGTATAAGAATAGGCAACATATGCTTTTGTCATATTCTGAAACATAGTGAAAATTTCTCTGAAGCTATTTTGTCTGCCAAAACCAGTAAGAAATGTGATTTAACACATTTTTATGTGTCTTTCATTTTTTTTCTTTCTGCTTCATGCTCTCAATATGCATAAATGTTGTAGTTAACGAACAGTAGCCATGGTGAACTTTTTAATAGAGTACAGTGCTCATTCTGAAGAAGAAATAACGGGCTATGGCATTAGCTACATCAAGGTCACCAGGCAATAAGTTCAGTGGTATAAAAAAGACAGTTTACTTTTTTGTGGTTGAAAGAAGCAGGTGTTACACAACCTTTATAAGAGACACTGAGTTAAAGATTTTTAAGATACTGGAAGAGACAGAAACCCTTTTTAAATCATTATAAATTATAAAAATAACATTTCCTTTAGTTACAAACTATTTTTAAGATGTTATATAAAAATGTGCATAAATACATATATCTGTTCAGAAGCAATATAAATGATAATTTTTATTTAATGTCTTTTCTCGCATTTTCTCTGGATTTCATTCCTCTAACCATGAGTAACCCCCAGAATACGTACTAGCAAATACATAATCACGTTTATTTTTAAGCTATATGGATATAATTGATGTCTACAAGACAGTAACAAGCCCACATGAGAATTGTTAATTGACATTTGTTACTCCAAGTGAAAACTGAAATCAATAAATTTTCATTTGTTGGAAAGGTTTTTTAAAAAACCCATATCTCTGGGTTATTATAAAATTAAATTTAAATCTAGTCATATAATATTAGCATAAGTTGGCAAACGCTTCAAGAAATGTCCACCATGATCCTAGTTCAGAGGACTTAATAGGGAGATGAAATTATCTATGGAATTAGATTTATGCATTGAATTCAGTTAAGAATGAAATTAAAAGGCAAGAAAAATTGATAAATAATGCTTTAAAAAGACTGGGACAAATAGAGGGAATTCATATAAATGATAACTGTGTGAATGCTTGATCAGTAACATTTAAGGTCTTTATCACAATACTGGACCATTTAGATGTTAGCTGTCAAGTAAAGCAAAGAATAACAGTCTATGAAAACTGAGTAACACATCATTACCACAGAAAAACTTTCTATGTCAATATTCAAGTAGTTTGGGAACAACAGTACAACTTTCAGCCAAATTTTACTTCTTCCAAAGAAATTTAATGTACAAAACTATGACTCAGAAAAAGTGAGATATCTTAATTAAAATTCAATAAGGTTTTTATAAATCAGAGTATTATAAATATTAGATAAGACCATTAAAAAACACAGAGGGTTTAAATAACTGTTTCTTTCCTTGAATTTCTTTTCTCCCTGCCTTTCCTGAAAAGATTAAGTGTCTCTGGGAACAATACGGAGAAGCTTACATTGCTGAAGTTTGTGACTCTATACGTTTACACAGTAAAATATTTTATTGTGGTGTTTGCTTATTCAGCACTCATCATTATATTTTAATTACATACACAGGAAACTTCCAAAGTCTATGGCTTACCTTCTTGAGGGAAAGAATTCCTTCCCTTGTTTCTTTGTCAGTAGATATGGAGAATACCCCAGAGCCATCACCATTTATAATTGTGTACTTCATGTCTGCATTTGAACCAGTGTCTGCATCATTTGCTTTGATTTTGCCAACTGCTGATCCAACTTGAGCTGACTCAGGAACATACAGTTGATAATGTTCTAATGGGGGACAAAAAACAACAGCTTAAAGAATTTTTCTCCAATTATGCTACCGTTGTAATACAGCAAGGATTCTGAAAATTACCAGCACTGAAAATGAGAACATACATCCAATAGGTGTGCACATACCGACAGCATCCTTATTCCCTACCTAAACAATGCCAATCCAGATGCCTTTTTAACAGTTTGAGGACTTTAGATCACAGTCCAACCACCAAACAGAAAAGAGAGCAAAATAACTTCTGTTATTACACATCTTCTGAAACTCTACAAAGTGTCTTTTATGTTCCTCTTAGGCATTCTGCGGTAGGGAGTGCAGTAGTGCAAAACTGAGTTGCAGGACAGTAGAAAAGCAGATTTGAAAGTGAATATATGAAAGCTAACATGTTACAGTTTGCTGAGTTTAAACCAGATAGCATGACTGCAGAGGTGCCCTTGGTAAGCATGTAGAGAAAGAAAGGCAAAATTTACATTGAATTCAGAGGTTAAACCTGAATTATGGCAGAAACCAACCACTGGCTGGCTGAAGAAATTATGAATCTACAGAATGGGCCGTTGTGAAGGGAACGGATGTCATCACTAAAATATAGCTAACTAACTTTACAGACACAGACAGAAGATTCCTAAACCTATTATTTGTGTAATACTAGTCCATAATACTTATGTATATACTTATAGTAGTGTGAGAAGGATGGATGAGAGCATTAAACTTTGTTAGTCCAAAAGGAAAGAGAGTTTTCCTAGGAAAACAAAAAATAAGTTGTCATTCTCAAGGAAAATAAGAAATGTCCTGCAGAACAAGACACAAAGTATGATTTGCCATGCAAAAAATAAAATACCAACACTGACGTAACAGGAGAGTTACTGAATTCAATAAAAACATATAGTTAATACTTTGATGCAATTCTTTGATACGCATATAAAAGCCACCTACACAAATTTCCAAATAAATGATCTGCCATGCTTTGTGCTTACAGAAGATGTCAACTGGTATTTTCGTATTGCTGGTTGCTTTATTTTCTACATAAAATTATAGTAATTAGATAATTTACTTATTGTTAGAACACACGGAAAATGTATTCTTTTGACACTTTTGCTCTGATTAATTATTTTCAAAAAGGGAAAGGTTGAAGACATTAAGGATATGTTATATAATCAAGACACTTCAGGAACTGGATGTGTTATATCTCATGACAGGGTGAACTAATTGGAGACTTCCAAATAGTTTAGCTAGTTCAAATATATCTGCATGACACTCCACTCTGCTTTTTAATCACACCCCAAGTGTTAGCCATCTGTTTCAGAAAATCATTTTACTGATACCAGTTTGAAACATTCTTAAATACTAAAACTTCAAGCAAAACAAATATTTGAAATGACTCATTAATTATCTGTCAGTATTTGTAGAACTGAAATGTTTCAAAGAAGTAAATGGAGTTAAAAGAAAACTGTTAAAAAAATAAAAAATGTTAGATCACAAGGTCAGAAATGTCTTCCAACTAGTATATAACCATTACTTCACAGAGACAGCCGGAAGATGTCTCGTACAGACATGAGCCAAACAGATAAATAGAAACATTATCTAAAACCAACAAACATAGAGGATAAAATTCAGCAAAGAGAAGGTTAGATAAACTGTATTATAGACATGTATTTAGGCTAGTGGTGAAAATTAGAAATGTTCTTACTAAACACTAAATCTCTGTAAACTTTATTCCTACTAAGAGGAACCAACTAAAGGCTCAATTGAACACTGGAACAGGCTCCCCAGGGAAGTGGTCACAGCACCAAGCCTGACAGAGTTCAGCTTTTGGACAAAACTCTCAGGCACATGGTGTGATTCTTTGGGATGGTCCTGTGCAGGGCTAGGAGTTGGACTCGATGAACCTGATGGATCCCTTCCAACTCAGCATATTCTGTGATTCTTTGAACATTTTCTTGGGCATTGGATAAAGGAAGTCTGATAATCATTATAAAATGTGGGACGTGTATGCTGTGAGTTTATGATTCTGTATTGTAAGCTATGAGTCTGTCTCAACCCTGTAAAAAAACTGATTAGGAAGATGGGAGCCCTGGGGATCAGGTATCATCAGTCTATACCAAAAGTGTTTCGCCAAATCCGCCCAAGTTGAACAAATTGTTCCTTCCAGCATCACAGACTTCCAGGAGCTGTTGTAAAGCAGAAATTTCTTTGGGATGGTCTAATTTTTTCTAGAGGAGATGCCCAGTTTCTTATGGGTCAAGAATCTACAGAGTTTGATTTGGTTCTCAATTTTTATAACATTCACTCAGATGCATTCTCATGAAATGAGGAAATTAATACTCCTTTCCAGATAATGTACTGTATAGGATAGTTATACCACTTTGCAGGACTTTAATCTATGAAAATTGAAACATTTTTCAAATGCGTATGTGTGATCTTCATCTTTTAATAAACTTTATGGCTTATCTGTAATTATAGTACAGAAACAACTTATTTATCTTTAGAACAATTTACTTTCATTTCGGTTAGCCTACAGGCAACCTTCAGTGCTGTTATTTACACTCAGAAAAGTGATTTCCCTGTCTAAACCTCTCAAAAAAAGAATTATGACAATATTTAATGAAAATCAATAAGCATATTATTCAATTTATTTCATTCATTAATCTATTTTGTTGATAATTTTGGTTTACTTTTATTGGTTATAATTTCTTCTTGAACAGTAGGAATTACCTTACTTAACAAAGGAAGGGAGAAGAAGCATAGTACTGAACGAACAGAAAAATAAGCAAGTATCTGGCCTTCCTGTTACTTTTTTATCCAAGGTATAGTTTAACAACATGAGGATAAATACTGCTTGGTGATGAACCAAGAGATGCATTTATCACAGCTCATATGCTAATGCCTTTTTCTATCTACTAGTAAACTGATAAATCCAGCATCTCATTGTCTTAACATAAAATACCACTGTGTCCAAAATGTATATCAAAGTGCTATGTGAAGAAAGTGTTCCTTGAACTTACTAGCTAAATATTCATTCATGAACCAAACTGATGAGGTATGGAGAATAAGGAACAGTGAGTCAAGCTTGAAGTCTGATGATTATGAGAACAAAATCCCAATTAAAAAATAGTTGTACAGGAATCAAGATTGTAGCCAAAAATATTTGATGTGGTAATTAATCACCTGAATAATGGGTTGCATGGAGACAATACCATCTTGGAAAAAGCTGGTCAGTATGCTGGAGGGCAGGGCTGCTGTCCAAAGGGACTTGGACGTGCTGGAGAAATGGGCTGACACAAACCTCATGACAACTCAGTGATGGCACCGGGGGAGAAATAATGCCATTCATCAGTACATGATGGGGCCAGCCCATTATAAAGCAGTTTTCCAGAAAAGGATGTGAAAAGGACCTTTTAACACTTTACTAGACAAGGCTCTTAGCAACTTGGTCTAACTGAACCTGGTTTAAGCAGGGCTTCAGGTCACATTGCCTTTTCAAGTCTCACATGAACTTATGATCCTGTCATTTATGAAAGTATGTCTTACGTTTTACTGCCTACCATCTTTGATAAAACTGAAATGGAGCTCCAGCTGTGGATTGTGCTCAATCTTCATTGGTGGCTTTGTTTGAGAAAGTTATTCTGCATTCACAGAGCTGCTTGTTTTCATTAAACGTAATAGATTAATCTGGATTTCTCTTTTGAGACTGCAGTTTTATAGAAGTCTATTTCTCACCGTATGTCTTGGACATTTGTCACATCTTTCTGTACTATGCTTATTTTTAATATAATAAATCCAATTTTAATACATCATCATTAAAAATACAGCAACTTTTATGATTCCTGCAGCTCAGTCAATTTTATATCTACTGTCCTTGATCTGAATATTCTTTTTGATGCTGATATCTCTTTCATAAAACTAGACTAAGAAAGAAATTTTTAAGGGGTATGTGTGGCTTACTCTTCTTCCCTGCCACAAGAACAATGCTTTTGCACTTTCTAAAAATGTTTGAAGCGTAAGCGAAGTTACTTCGTATTTGCAAATACAACACTAAAACAAACTTCAAAACTCAAACCCTTCAAAATTTGTTTGCCTTGAAACTCTGGAGAACACAGCAATCTTGGGTCAATTTAGAAAAAAACCCCAAACATTCTTCTTCAGTGCACTAGAATCTGCTGGCTGGAACAAGACTTGTGCACCCCCATGCCCCTGCTTTTTACAATCCCAATGTAAACCAGAAGTTACGGCTGTGATTAAGATTTTAATCAGGGTTTATGTTCCATGACACTTTGTCTTTAGAGACAGCAACTAAAAGTTCTTGAGAACTTTCTGACTAGTTCTCAGAGATCAAAAGTGTTCTGACTTCTTGTAAAAAGTGTGTTGTTTATGCCACTCATAGGCAAAAGCAGAAAGATGAAGAAAACTGGGTTTCCTGGATTTTCAGAATCAGTACTTCCTGTAGGCATTGAATACCAAAATATGCATTTTCTATGCAAACAGCACTGGAAAAGCAACATCTACACTCCATAATCATTGCTAATGGGCAGCTTAACAGCTGAATGTGATCTCTAGCACTCTCTAGAGAGACTGTACACCAACTGTACTCACAAAGGAAATGTCACTCACTGGTCATTCACTTTGAAACCTGAACATGCGCTTTATAAACACAATTAATTAACTAATTAATTGTTCCACAAATAATTGGAACAAATCTCCCCCTTTAAGAATGTGTGAGAAGCAAAATACTTTTTAGCAGTAAAATTGTGTGACTATTATAAGAAAACGTAATAGTTACAAAGATAGGAAGTGATGAGTGTGAAATACAAAAAAGACATTCCTCTAATTATAATGAAAAAAAATCTTAATAAATAAGCAACAATTAAATGTAGAATAATTTCTGTAATGAAATGCTTTCTAATACTGCCTGGATATTGGATCAGTGCTAGACTCATCATCATCAGGTAGAATCACAGACTCATAGAATGGCTTGGGTTTGAAGGGACCTTAAATATAATCTGATTTTAAGACCCCTGCCATGGGCAGGGACACCTTTCACTAGAACAGGTTGCACAGAGCACCATCCAACCTGGCCCTGAACACTTCTGTAATCATTTTAACTCAACAGTCTCCAGTAACTTTTTTTTAACCATTGTCCAACATCAGACAAATCTAACACATTATGATTCCACAAGCCTCTTAGCACTTACTGGGTGAATAAAGAAAGACCTGTTAAAAGAAAATCAGAAAAAATTCTGCTTTACTCATCTCATTTGGGAGGATCCAAATGATAAAACAGCAGGCAGATAGCTCTGAACTAGTCATCACAATAGGACAGGACAGTGAGAGGATGGTGCATATGGGAATCATATATTATGTGGAACTGGGGATACAGAAAGGACCACACTGGAGTATAAATTTCAAAAGAAAATTAATAGCAGACACTTTTGCACATAATTATCTAATGAGTCATATTAACAAGACTGGATATAGACACCTTCCTAGCACTAAACAGAGTTAATGTCTACTTCTGGGATGTGAGTTTACTTTTTCAGAACTAACAGGAGTATCTTCATGCAATATTCCTATTTAACATGACTGTGTACTTTTCATACAATGACCAAACTATGCATCTACACAGGCCAAACTATGCATCTACATAATTTCACATTATATTTACATACTACCATGAAACAACCAAGGTTCAACAATCAAGCTATATGAAAAGTGTTTTAAGCCACGACTTGTGTTTAAATCCTGCTTTATCCTGAAAAACTGAGCTAGATGTATCAAACAACAAAATCTACAAATTAGACTCTAGACAATAACTACATAATAACACAATAACTACAGATCTCCTACACACTGGCCAGAATATAATAATTAGCACTTGATGTACAAAGCATGTGGGGACCCCTGGTGGTCTAGTGGTTAGGATGTGGTGCTCTCACCGCCGCAGCCCGGGTTCGATTCCCGGTCAGGGATACTCCCCCGGGCAGATGGAGCTCGTCAGCCCTGTAAGGCCATCCATCTATGAGAAGGTCACTCTAAACAAACCTACGTCCTGAGGACCTCACTGCCATTCTCCAAGCTCGCTTGGCCCCGGCAGATGAACCTTAGGATTAAAGGGTGGGCTCAGTTCAGCGCATGCTGTGTCTCACCTAAAAAATCCATTGCGCAGGCTTGAAAGGTAAAAAGACCTTTCCCAAAATCTTCGTTAGCGAAGACTGGCCATTATTAACAAAGCATGTCAATTGAAGCATCTGTTTAGTGTGATGGTCTTGATGCAATCAGAATCTCTTCATATTAAACAAAGCAAAACGCACAAAATTTATTCATCTTAAGCAACACCAGAAAGAATCAATGTAGGAAAAATATACAGAACATTTTGATGTCACTCAAGGCTGATAACAGCGTCATCAGTAGATAGAACATCTTCTATCAAATCACTGAAATAAATTTATGACTTTGATATTAGGGCCCTCAGTCATCAGCCACACAGATCCATCAGTGGTAAAACTAACAAGAACAGAGACATGCAAAAATCTTCCCATGTAGAGCACTGTCTGTTAGCTTACATTAAACAGATAGTTCATTATAACTCATCTCTCTAAAGAAAGGAAAATTGTGATAATGAAGAAAAAGAAATCAGTATTATTCAAGACGCACTGAATTAATTGATGAGCAAAATGTATTTGAGGTTTCAGGCTATTCTCCTGCTGATTTTGCAACTCCTTGCCTACTTTTGAGACAGACTAGTGTGTTTTGCACACAGAATTTTTCATCTATGTTTCTTATTACAGAAATGTTTATTAACAACTATGTCAGAACCGCAGCCATCAGACTAATAAAATTATGCAGTCCTGTTTAACATTATTCCTTCTAGATTTTTTTGATGTTTTGGAAAATTGTAGCTCTTTTTTAGAAATTTCTTTGCAAGAAAGTCAGCTATATTTAGAGTAGGAACAGAGAAAAACAAAGTAAATTCATTTAAGCAGACATATTTACAACCTTTATTTCTAAGTCTTAAGTAGGATTTTAAAGGGTTTCTTTAGGGAAAAAAATCCTGCATATACTACTGCAAATGCATGTCTAATGACCAAAGATCTACCAAAGTCAGAAAGGTACCATCTTTGAAATACATATAATAAAGTATATTTCTAAATAAAACAGCTAATAAAGGCATCAATCAGATGTGCTTCTCAGCATGTTCTCAAGTAAGGTACTCATACAGTTAGAACCAGATTCAAAACTCAAAAGTATGGTAACGGAGAAAAAGAAACTAACCAAAAGAAAGTCTGTGGTTTAGCTGAGGCTCAGCCTGTCCCAAGGGTTATACACTCGATATGTGCAGTTTTGGTTAGCACTTCCCTTGAATTCAATTCTGAATGTGACAAGCCTCAGTAAGTCTCATTTAGCATTCTGTCTAATAAGGAAATTGAAGAGAAATTTAACTGAAAATCATGGCACACAAAGAAAAGAGAAGAAAAATAAACAATGAAGTTATTTCTATTAGTGCAAGACTCGTGTATTATTGTAATAGTTCATGATGCTACAATGGCCTTTTTTAGATCAACTGTACTTTCATTCTCTATTATTGACATATAGCTGCTGTTCTTTTGCAAGAGGTTTAAAATATATTTCTTGAAATGGAGTAAAAAAGCAATGTCATTCATAGCTGTGGTATAGAAATCCTGTGTAAGGAAAGAAGGCAAATGCTTGTACTCTACAAGACTTGTTCTAAAATAATATTTTATGCTAAAACTAATAAATATTAAAATAGTATTTTTGCTCCTTTAAATAAAAAGTTTTCATTAAATGTGAAATGATGTTTTGTGGTTTTCAACATCATTATAATCCCTTAAAATGTATAAAGTATAACTTGAATATTTTATATTTCTTTGATTTTTAAAAAATAATAATAAAAATAAAGAAATATATATACCCATGTACATTTCTGCCAGTCAGTCACTTTGATATCTAAACCCTTCCATTCAAAACAAAAGAGGCCAGTTTTTGAAACCTGATATGTAGGGATTCATTTCTGCATCCAATGAGTTTGAAGGAAATTTATGACATTTCTTCTACTTTAGCTCATTTAGATGTTAAATCTGTTCAAAGACAGGCCTTACCTTTTGCTTTTCCAATAGTTAGAAAGTATTAAATAGAATGATGGATGCAATAAAAATTCTGTGGAACATGAAATCAAATATATTTTATTTAAGGCCATGTTTCAAGGGCTTTATGCTTTCATGTGCTTCTGAGGCACAGAAATAAATATTAATTTCTACAACACTTTTAATAAGCCTACGTACTGTTTGGCCAGATTTTATATAATGTGTATTGCCAGGGAGCTTTGTTTTTCCATGGAGCTTTGTGGTCTCTACTCCTTTATAAATCTTCTAATTCAAACAGCTTAATGCATTTCCTAGTGGATATACCTATAGCTACCAGTCCATTATGTTCTACAACAGCTCACACAATGTCTGAGACCAGATTACAACATTTTTTTTGGCCCTGAGTCATCATGAAAAGGAAACGCATTTACATTCCAGAGGATTTTTAAATAAATTGTCGACTGAATTCAGAATTCCTACAAGACCCCAGCTACTGTGTAAGATCAATCTACATCCAATAAGTTGGATAGAAATTAATTTCTTAATAGTGATCATATTAAGATATTCTAGGGTATTCTAGTATATATTCTTCATATATGCATGTGATAACAATATTTGACACCAACATCGCCAATTCACTTAACTAGAATAGAGGCAGACTCCATCATAGCTCAACATCAGGGAGAAACAGCTTTTGCCCATCTGTAATGTAATAATTGATCTTAAAGGTTTATTTGGGTATAGAGAAAGAAACAGAAGAAAAAAATTGATATATGTGTATGGAAGCAGCCAAAGGCATGCTGGATTAAATCTTTTAATGCATTACCTTTTGTTGTTATCTACCATAGGATTAGCATAATTCCCTTGTGGGATCAAACACACAGTTATTGAAATATACATTCAACAAGGACTGGAGAATAATCGGCATATGACAAGAGTATTCCTTTGTCACCTATCTCACTCTTATCCAGTGGTTAACTGAAAGATGTCTTCACTGGTTTCAGTATTCTAGTTATGCCATCTCTGTGGTTCATCTGAAAACACTGGAAAATTAAAAAATAAATATTGGTGAATCCAAACACCTCCCAAGCTGCCTTCTCCCCATGAAATTTGACTACTAACTGGATTTCACTAATAGCTTCTCACTTCACTGAAAATCAAAATGATTTTCAAATCAGTTATATGTTGAAATTGTACATACTCTGAGGAAACCTGGGTGGATTGTCGTTGACATCAGTGAGTGTGATATTTACAGTTGTTGATCCTGACAGCCCTCCGACCTGCCCAGCCATATCTTTGGCTTGAATGACAACGGAATAATGCTCTCTGGCTTCCCTGTCCATGTTGTGCAAGGCAGTCCTGATGACTCCTGTGAGGGAAAGAAAACAAACAAACAAACAAATGATCAGAATTAGCTTGTTCAAACAAGAGCAAAGGTTGGGTATAACCTTTCTCTTAAGCTATCTTTAGTTGTTTGTGTCATATATATATAAAACACAATGCCAGATGCTGCTAGAAAATCAATTTCCTTGAGTTTATAGAGAAATCAAAATAATATTTATTGAATCAATTATTATACTACTAAATAATTAACCTAATTTATAAAACATTTCTAGCCCAAATATGCATTGCCAAAATACCAGTGTTTTCTCATATATTGCAACTGCTTAAATTGTTACTTAAAAGAAAAAGTAATGAACGGGAACTCTTACTCCACTGAATAAGACACAAATTGTTTTTTAACAAAAGGTAATTTCTTACTTAAAATATGACATACTTCTTAAAACTACCCAAAAGCTAAATTTTCTTATTTGACAAATCTCAAAAAAGATACTTTTGTATTTAATATATGTCAAACATGTAGATTTATGTTCATAAGTGTGACTTACCTAATAATTGTCTGTAAACTAAAAGATAAGCTTTTTATTGGTTTGACTACAGTACAGAGAGAAAACCAAAACTGAATGAGCCTAAAATTCTATCTATTATTATCTATCACTATCAGAATTTTTTTTTTTCACATTTAGTTAATTATACATGGAGAAGCAAAGATTAAAATAAAAGTAGGGACAGTCAATACTGTGGGCTCAGTTTCAGTTAGGGGACATTTTTCACCCATGATGATGCCTTTATATTAGGCCCTGATAATTTCTTTGATCACAGGCTGACAGAAACATCATAGAATTCAATAAAGGGAAATGTCAAGTCCTATGCTAGGGAATCAACACATGCTGTGGACAGTCTAGCTGGGAAGGAGCCTTTCAGAAAATGATCTGGGGTGGTCCTGAAGTTGGACATGAGCCAGCAATGTGTTCTTGCAGCAAACAAGGCCAACAGCTTTCCAGGCCGTATTATGAAATGCATTGTCAGCAGGTCAAGGGAGGGGATCCTTCTCCTCTGCTCACCATTCATGAGGTCAAATCTGGAGTGCTGGGTCTAGTTCTGAGCACACCAGTACATTGATAGACTGGAGTGAGTTTCATTGAAATAAACAGAGAACTATGAAAATTTATAAACATTATATTTTCAAAGAACTAAGGTTTTAGCTTAGCTTGTTTTGGACTCTTAAAGTGAGCAGTTGCTACAACCAGTAAGAAAATATACCATAGCATGATCATATGTTCCTTCTGGGTAAATTTTAAACATATAATAGCTAGTAAAGCAAAGCATCTTAAGTAGAGCCCTGCTCTTCTAGACAACTTTCTGTACAGTATGATCTTAAGCTTTTTGACGCCCAGAGTTCAGATGACGTAAAAAATGGTTTCCAGAACACTACTTTTCTTGTACTTTAAGATTACTTTCTATGCATTTTTTTGGTGAAACCATTTAGCCATTATTACATACAAAATGGAAATTTTCATGTAGCTTATGTAATTGTTTCCATTCTATTCTGAAAACAAATCACACATAAATTAGTAGATCTATCCACAGAGAATAATATTTTAAATTATTTTAACACAGTTTTGCACTGCAGGTTCCTTTCCATCAGAAGTGTAGATTTTGGACAAGCTAACTAAAAATATTATACCAGTCTGTTTTAGTTCATCAGTGTTTTTTCCCTTAAAATGATACAGTTTGAAACAGATCTTTTTTTTGGAAATTGCAGCATGATATATTGAAATTAACCACAACTTATACACATTGTAACACAAATTTGTGGAGGTATTTGGATAAAAGAAACTGATATAATTTAAATATACATTTTCATCAAAATAAATATTCACAAAATTTGGTACTACTGTTCTGAAAATTCATTTTACTGAAAAATAGGAATATAAGAAAGTATTAGAATTAAGAATGTCCTGCTTTGACATTTTTCAAATAAATTGCTTTGGTTTTTTACATTGACACCAAATGTATCGGAACATTTCATGCTTATGCATATGCATATAATGAGTATGGGATTTTTAGAACCTTCCATTTCAATTTGAAACAGACCAAGTGTTACATAGTAGAACATCTGTCTTCTGTACTATCCTCATAAATACACTAGTAACTTATATTTTTAAATTAATTTAAACAAACAGAAATTCCTCTGTATTACGATTACTTTCCTCTTCTTTTTTGCTTCAAAGGGTGTGATACTGAATCAATGCTTATAGATAGTTAATAAGGATTTGTGGATGACTAATCATTTGACCTCTCTCGCAGCAGGTTCTGAAAAATCTCTTTTCTGAAAAGTGAGTAAAGAAAATGGGCAAGTTTTTAGTTTCCAAAGTTTAGAATAAGAAAACTAGTTTTAAACTTTGATGTGCTGAAGGCAGGACATAAGGGAAAATTTAGTTCCCTCTCTTTTCTTGGATGCATGTATATTTATACATCCTAAAATCATAAGATCAATATGAAGTATCTGACTACCGTGAGAATCCTAATGCTTTATCCTTGTCACTAGTAGCTCCACCAACTGTTGTGGCAGTATAGCACTAAAATCACACGTAATTTCGGATTTCTCTCATGATCCCAAAATGTGTAAGGAGAACTTTCTTATAAGTCTTTTCCAATAAGATAATATTACATGCTCCAACAGTTTCCTTAAAAGTAGGAATTGCCCCTGAGTATATGCTGTATACTTGGCAGGGGTTCCTATAAATCCCATAAGAAAATGGGAGGTTCATCTTAAGAAAGATATTTCTCTGACTAAAACAGTAAGGAAAAAAAAAGTTAAAAAGAAAATTGTCACAGGCTTTTTATGTTTAAACACACCCCTGATTTTGCCTCATATTTATTAGGCAGCACTGTGACCCTGTTAACTGAGCGCTTTTCAGCTATGACTCCAATATTTATTCATCTTTACTAAGAAAAGAAAGCAAGAAAATAAAAAAAAAAAAACAAGACATAGACATCATTGCAGATATAACTCCATCCTGTTTCTTGTATTAAGTGAAGAATTTTTATAGTTTGACTTTTGTGTCAAAAATTACATACAACATATGGAAGGCTATATCTGTTGGAACAGACTTGAGAAGGACTCACAATTCTGGACCTCTGCCCTCAAAAATGGTCATACTTATTTCTGTCTTAAAATTGTGACAGATGTTTTATCCCACATGGAAGGCTCTCCCAGAACACACATTTTCTTTTAACTTCTTTTCTAAATCTATTCAGCTCTAAATCACACCAGTTTTGATAGGGTTTTTAGTTTTGGGTTTTTCTGTGATAATTTCTATTTGAAATATGACATGAAACCTACCTAGTTTCCAGATAAGACTTTAACACCACCTTTTCTTATTAAAACATTTTTATTTTTTATACAAAGTACGTGTTATTGGGAGATTCATCTATAAATGAATAATATTTCCTCCAGTGATATTTCCAAATTAATGAGACCAGAATTACTGCAGAACCATAGAATATCTTAAGTTGGAAAGGACAAATAAGGGTCCAGTCCTACACTCTGCTCCTCACAGGACTAACAAAAACTAAACAATATATTTACTACGTAGTTTTACTACATAGTACTATTAAGTCTGATTATTCTACTCTGAAGGAGAAAAAAATACAATTTTTGCACTTTAACACAGATACTGAGCAAGTCAGTAGATACATTTCTTTACAGTCAATACCTTCTTTTCCCCAAGATTTCTGTAAGATACTTCTACAGTCTGCAGCATCTGACAGTGTGTTATATTTTCTCTTTTAGCATTCTGTGAAGAACCATTTTACTTACATACAAGAAAAGCTACAACAGAAGGTTCCATTGTGACTGAGATTGTAAAACTCAAGACTTGATAATTCAAGTGCAGACAAATATCAAGGAAATGTCTGCCACAGCCAAGTGCCTAACTATGCATTTACTGAAGTATTTAACTATATAGTTACATATCAGTCTGGTACTCTTGAAATAATTTATTTTATTACATCTACAAAATAAGAACTCATTTTAGATTCAGTAACCACAGCCTAGTCCTGAATGATGTCTGAATGGAAGTGCCTCAGAATAAAACACGGTCTATTTTAAAGTTTTGAGCTCAAAGGTTTTCTCTCTAGTGGGGAAAACACAACTCCACTTTAATGACAAATTAGTTTATCATGGGTAAGTAAGTATTTTTTTGTTTGGAAAATTTCTATTCCATTGGATCATGAGCCTGGTCACTAGAGATTTGATGAAGAGCCACTAGATCATACTAGATCCCCCAGTTTTTAATATATCTGTCTTTTCATAGCCAATAATGATTCAAATATAATTTTAAATATCTATTTAATAACTGATTAAACATGGGATTTTACAATCCACTGAGGGATGTGAACTGTTGCAGATGATATTATTTTTACTTTTTGAACAAAAATTCTATTACTCTAGGATATGTATCTAGCTTATTTTATTGTATTCTGAATATATTGTATATATTAAAATACATTTTAAAATCTAATAATATTCTACTTTGAAGGAGAAAAAAATACAATTTTTGTACTTTAACACAGATACAGAGCAAGTCAGTAGATGCTTTTTTTTTCTCAAAACTTCAAAATAAATTTCAAATTTAGAAGTCTCAATAGACTTTGACTAAGATTTGTGATTTAGTCCAAATCATAACTGTAAACAGAAATGTGCAGTACAAAGCTTCTCGTCATACTCCACATTCTGAATACTTCTATAACTAAGATGTTTTTAATCTGGGCCCTTGAGTCAGATCTGCTTTATATAAGTAATATTATACATTTTGTTCCTTTACAGGAACATCACTAGCTACTTCATGGCTAAAAGTCATAGCGTTATAGAAATGACAATTAGTAGTCAGTTTTCTTCTCTGGTCATGATAGTATAGACATAGTACTGAAAGACAGCCATTTCCTATGGAAATTTATCATTGAAATGAAATACATGAATCCCACACATGAAGACAACATTTAAAGACAACTGCTAAATAT